CCCCCAGGCCTCGGCTCCGTGTTTGCTCCGCAGCGCCCCGAATCCCCACGCTCCCGCGGTTGGGAGTCCGGTTTGCTGAAGGCCGGATGACTCGCGGAGGGCACTGTGGTGTGTGGGAGCGGGCAGGAGTGTGAGGACACCCCGGAGACGTGACTGGAGTGGCGCGTCCCGCAGCGGGGTCCCGGGTCCCGGGTCCCGGCTGCGCCCTCGGCCCGGAAGCCGCTGGTCTCTGCGTTCTGCCTGCCCTGCCCCATCTCTCTTCAGAGAGCCCTGGGCTGAGGCCTTACCCCCAAATCGCTCCCTGACCTTAGTAAACACTGCATTATTCTTCCCTGGACAACTGAGCAGTGCTAACCCTGCACTGTGTTTGGTTGTCTTGAGTTTCACAGGGACGGGAACCGAGTCTGTTTGCTGATTGCAGACCTCCTGGAGCCTACACTATAGGTAGTTAGGAAATGTTTGTTGAATGAAATTTTGAATTCGGCCAGTGGTCAGCCCTACCCTTACCTCAGTTATATTTCCACATTGACAATTTTTCTCATACTTTTTCTAGCCCCTGAAAGGTGGTTGAAAGGCTTTTAGTCGTTAGCGCTAATGATTCCTTCTTATGCACAGGGCCCTGTGTTTTCCTCTACGAACTTACAGTCTGTACAGCTGGCTCGCACCCCTTCTTTCCTTTCTTCCTCCTTCTCTCCCTCCCTTTTCTTCCATTCTTGACTGCTTTTTTGATAACAGCTAAAACTTAACTCTGTTTCTGTCTTGTCTTCTGTAAAAAACAAAACTGCCACTTAGGAGAAGGTGTAGCAATGCAGAAAATTTTTGATTTTCACTTATCTTTCAAATGTATTAAGTACATTTTTGGCTCCAGAGGATTCATCCTTCTAGTATTGCAGTGTAACTACTATTGAAATTAACTTTCCCACCATAAATTGGCTGACCGTTAAAAATGTGTGTAAAATGTGATAGATGTGAGAAAGTCTCCTAGGAATTAGTTTCACGGTCTTCATGTGGTGAGTTATTCGCCCACAGTGGGAGTTGGCACCTTTTCATTTATTCTTTCTTGAATTCACTTGTTTGCACACCTTCATGGAAAACTAGTATGTCCTTAAGCACTATGAACTTATGAGAGTAACGAGGCTTCTTTCTTTTTAGTGCCTAATTCTGTCTTGAACTTTTGGAAACAATTCCCTAAAGTCCATTCAAAGGAATCCTTTTAGTGTGGTCTTGTCACCCCTCTCCTGATTGAGTAGTATTCCCGTTCTTTGCCATCTGCCTTTCTGTCTCCACTGCTGTCTTCCTTGGTGATGCTCTTTGAGGCACTCCTAAATTCCTTCATTAGGGCTCAGTTGGGAATTTTGAAAAATGGACCTGTGCTGTCCCATCACACCTTAAAGAAATGGTAGTGGTCTGGGTTGAGAGTTCATGGTTAAGCACTGAATTCTGCTGGTGGATCAGAGAAAGCCCAAAAAAGGAAAGGCTGAAAGGAAGAGAGCGGTTTCTTAATATTGAGAACACTGTGGACCCTTTATCTGCTGTTAAATTGAGCATGACTTTCAAGCCATGCCTCCTAATTAATTTAATTCAGTGTTCTGGCATCAATAAGTAATTGAATTATAAAAGAATTCAGTGTAACTACTTAGGACATTTTGTTGCTGAAAGGTTCATTGGAGAGTAGAACAGTTCAGTGATTGAAATAGGGATGTTTGATGCTCACAGCTGGGAATTAAGGTTAGGTAAGGACTTCTTAATCAGACCACAGTGAACATGCAGTAGGCTGCTGGCTACCACCGTCACCGATGCTGTCAGTTGACTGCAGGATGTGACTGTGAAGCCCATTGGTTCTGTCTTGGCTTTCCCCACATAAACTCCTTGTTGCTGATGGAATCAAGAGAACACTGCAGAGGGCTTGTAGTTCTGGTGAGAAGACAGCTCAGGAGCTCTCAGGCTGCTAACCCTAGGTCAGCTATTATGTAAGGCTCTAAGATTGAAGAGGCTGAATAATTTGATTCAGCTTAGTGAGATTAATTTATGCTAAGAAACTTAGAGGATTTATCTGCATGTTGTCCTCTGCAGTAGTTCTGGTATGCTCATGGTAAGATGCATCAGGTCTAACCGTCTCTTAGTGGTACAATTATGAGAGGCTCCACCCTAGTTTGAGAGAAGGCTGTAGCTAGACCAAATCAGGGATATTCTGTTCATCCCCATGCAAAATATTCAGCCCAGATGCCAGGCTTAATGTCATCAGTGCCATATAAAACTTTGTATGTTTCTTATTTGTAAGAGGCACTCCTCACTTTATTTTGCAGGGAAGATAAACTGATGCTTAGACTGATAAATAACTGCAAGGCTCCAGCATGTATGGACCTTTACACTGCACCATGTTCTTTGATAGTGACGGCGCCCCTGTGTTATTTAAACAGTTCTTAGCAAAGAAACACTTACCCAGAAAGAGAGCACTAATGAGTGCTCAGAACATGGATGAGACCGAGTCTGTGCTTAGAACACTCCTGAAGGGGAGTGTGTGTGTGTGTGTGTGTGTGTGTGTGTGTGCGTGCCAGTGAGCTAGGTAAAGTTGGTATTGTTATATATCTTTTATTTTCCTGATGAGTCATAGAGGTTATATTACTGTAGTTGGTGCTCATTTAATGTAGGAGTTGTATTTTTGGAAATTATCTCAGATAAAAAAGTTATAAAACGAGAGGCATATAAAAGCTCTATCACCAAGAATGTTTGCATAGAGTAGATTTTTGTATTTTATTAATGATAATGTTCAGATTGAATTGGACTCTTTGGCAAAACGAATCATGATTATCACACATTGAGCCCTCTAAGTATGCTCAGCTCTTCCCTGATTTTCAGAACCAAGTCCATCTCTATAAATTGATTCAGCTTTGAACTTTTAAAGGATGAGATTGCTGGGTTTAACTTACTTTATTATTCCTTTTTCTTTTTTAAATTTTATTTTATTTTATTTCTGTTGTAACCACATTTTAAACAAATCCAGCCGAAGCATAGAGCAAAGATTTGTGAATGCTGTGGTGAGCTACCTGAGAGTAAGAGGAAAGAAAATCCTGTCACATGAGGTAGGTAGTGTTGGTAGTGTCTTTGAGGTTTTCTGCACAGTTTTACTAGGAGGATCTCTAAACATGAACAAACAAACAAGCAAGCAAAATACTCCCCAGAAAACAAGTATAGAAAACTTATGTGGTGGGTTATACTTAGCTGTACATGATATGTACATGATTTCTCATTGGACTCTAAATGAACCCTAAAGAACTCATTCTCTTAAATGTTGTTTACCTTTTCCATGTCTTTGTTTGACTGCATTTCCCAAGATTTTGTTGTATTTTGTAAACTAGGAAATAGAAACCTTAAAAAAGTGCAGTTCATTTTCTCCAGTTTGAATTTCTGTCATTTAGAGTATGGTTAGGAACAAGCTTTGTTTCATATATTTGTAAGGAAGGATAAGGTTTGCAACCTATTTCATTTTTTAATCATAAAATAGATAAACTTTTTATTATAAGACAAAGTGATTTATAAAAAGCAAGTAACAAATAAATATATTTGGGCAAGAACTACAGGGCAGACCTGTGTTTTTGGTAGGGTTTTTAAGTGGATAAAAATACGTATACTTGGAACTTAAGAAAAGTTTAGCTTGCTAGGGTTCTGTGAGGCATAGATGTTTATTGGAATGATGAATTTATGTTCTTAACTGAGTTTTGGGGGACAAAGGTGCAATAGAAAGTAGCATTAGATTTAGAGCACAATTATTTGTCTCTTAACCATTCTGTATCTAACCTGTTAAGCAGTTAAGGACAACTTTGTTTTCTTTATTAGAGAAAAAAAGGGGGAGAAAAAAAATTAGACTTATAGTGCATGTATCACAAGAAAAATTCTGGGGTAAAAAGTCTGTTTAAGTGCTTGCACAAATTAAGACAAATGAGAAATGAAAGGGTAAGATACATAATTCTGGAGTTTTAGGGAGAAAATGAGTTCTAAAAGATTGTGCAAATTTACTACCACATTAAATATCAGCAGAATGGAATGTAACTGGGTTTTTCATTTTCTTACAGAGAAAGCATCATCTTGTGTAGTTTTAGTGAGCAGCTGCAGTGGATATGTGGGGGCAGGATTTGCTAGGAAGACCAATTGGGAAGACTTAATCCTTTCCAATTCTTAAAAGAACCAAAGTAGTTTTTCTTCTGAACATGTATTATAACCAGTAGTTTCACAGTTTTCTGAGGTGAAAGGGTTTTCCTCCATTGCCATTCTCTTTGTTTACTAGGACCAGAAAACAACAGAGAGAAATATGAAAATTGGTAAGGATTTTGTGGCTGGACCCTGCGCTTTTCAGCTTTTAGAGCTGTGTTTCTTGTATCCCTTGGCACACAGCCCCTCCTTCAACTCCAGATCCTGCAGCATAGCATCTTGTGTCTGTGCATGTGTTGCCTCCTTCTCTGTTGCTCTGTTAAAAGGACACTTGGGAGTACACTTCGGGGCTACCTGGGCAATTCAGGGTAGTTTGCCATCTCAAAATCCTTAATATAATCATGCTTGCAAAGGTCTTTTGCTGTGGAAGGGGATACATTCACAAGGTCTGGTCGAAAGGATATACACATCTTTGGATCTTTTAATTTGCTTGCCACCGTACCAAAGACTTCTGAACTTGTATGATTACAAGCTACTCGCATAATTCTAAGAACTGTACAACTGTAAGATTAAGTCTCTTGTATACAATCCTAGTTCTGTTTTCTACCTAGATGTCCTCCCAAAGCCTCACGTGCTCATAGGTGGAGCTGTTAGAGGTGATTGGGTCATGGGGGTGCAATCACACACGGCAGGGTTAGTCCATTGATGGGTTTATAGCTGGGTTTATAGCTGATGTTGGGAGGTGAAGCCTGGTGGGAAGAGATGGGTCAGTGTGGGTGTGGTCTGAAAGGGTCTGTCTCCCTCCAGCCTCGCTCAGTCCCTCTCGTTTCCTCATGCTGTGTCAAGAGCTGTTTCTCCCCTGCCATGCTCCTCTGCCATGCTGCCCCATCTGCGAATCAGCCTATGATGGACTGAAACCTTTACAGACTGAAAAATAAACCTCTTCTTCCTTAACTTGTGGATGTCAGGTATTTTGTGTCAGCACCAACAAAGTAACTAAGATATTCTCCCTTCTTCCTTTTCGGTGGTTGTTTAAAATCAAAGTTGAGATAGTTCAGTGGTGGAGAAAATGTTAATTTGGTTCAACCACGCGTTCTGAAAATATGGTAACAAGTTCAAAGACAGGTGCTAGAGAGGTGCTGTGGATGTTGACAAAATGTTGGTAGATGGAAAGTCAAGGGCCTTTTTGGACAATGGGAAACCGAGAGCAAGGCCCAAGGATTGGAAATTAGAGAGTGTATTCAGGATAGAGCATAAAATGGATGAGTCGAAGCTTGGCGGGGAAATGCACACCTGTAACCCCAGCCTGCTAGGAGGCTGAGGCAGGGGGATCACAAATTTGAGCCTAGCCTCAAAAGAGGAAAGAAGGAGGAAAGAAAGAAGGAAAGTAAGTAAGTGCGGGCTAGTGATATAGATTAATAGAAAGGCCCTGGGTTCAGTCCTGAGTACTGGGTGGAAAAAAGGTTATTTGAAGCAAGGGTTGAGGAGAGAGGAAGTTGGTGATTGAGGTTGGAGTGGTAGGCTGGCCCTGTGCATTGCATGGAGGAATTTAGAAGAGAGGCAGGTAGTACAAAGGACACTGTTGCAGAAACGAAAAACCTGATTTAGATTCTCATCTAAAAAGATGAGAAATTCCATAGAACTTGTGGTAGGAGTTTGGTAATTAAATGTTAAGTGTGAAGCAGGAAGGGAAAAAGAAAGAATTATGCCCTTGTTCATTTAGGCATTTTGGAAAAGAACACAAAGCAGTGAAAGAATGTGCAGAAATATAGGAAAAGAACTAGAGCTTTGGTGTCTGGGAGATAGGGGATGAGAGTTTTTTTTTTTTTGGTACTGGGGATCAAACTCAGGTCCTTGCACTTGCAAGGCAGGCAGCAGAACCACTGAGCTAAATCCCTGGCCCAAGAGAAAATTTTAGATTGGTTTAACAGGTGCATATGCTATAAGAATGTAGGGAATCATAAGGCCATTGATTACAGTCGGCCATATAAGGGTCTCCAAACTACCATCAGACTCAATGGTTTGCTTAGAAGGACTCAGAAAAATTCATACTCTGGGTTGCAGTTTGTTCTGGCAAAATGATATGGACTAAAATCAGCAAAGAGAAAAGGCTCATGGGATGAAGACCGGGAGAAACCAGAAGCAAGCTCTTCCAAGTATCCTGTTCCAGTGGGGTCATACAGACAGGTCAAATTCTCAAAGCAGTGGTGTGTGACGACATGTGAGAAATGTTGGCAAGAGAAACTTGAACCTTGATGCCATAGTTTTTTGGGGGCTTAGCCATGTAGGCATGAAACACCTGCATGACTGACTCCAGCCACTCAGACTTCAGTCTCTAACATTAAGAATATTCACCATAAATTTCATTGTTAGCATAAACTATTTAATCAAACTGGGACCATGTGGCTCAAGGATGTGGGCATGCAAAAAACACTCTTAGCAGGTAGAAATTATAAGGATTAAGAGCTCATCTCTATGGAGCCAGCCATGGGCCAGTCCAAAAGATAGGGCTTTCTTGAAAATGTGTAAGGTTTGAGCCATGTAGGGCTGCTTAGTTCTCTCTTTCCTACACAATAGCAGTTGGGAACATTTGAGAATGAAGCTTCAGAGACAAGTGATTTTGGAAACAGTTATGGAGAGATTGGCTTATGGGAAAATGGATGCAGATATTGAGAATTATATTTTACAAAAACTGAGGATGAAGAGATAGAAAGATAGGCCTATGGCTCAATGGATTTAATTGGATTTTTTTCCCCCAAGCAAGGAAAATATCATTGTTTTGTAAGTAAAAGAGAAGTAAACATTTGAGACAGGGTTGGAAAATATAAGCACAAGTGATGACAGTTGGAGCAGTGTCTTAGAGACAGTAGGGTTTCCTGTGGTAGGGAGAAAGACACTACTTTCTCTGAGGAAGAGAGAAAAGGACAGAGCGAGGTGGTGAAAGAAAGTGTAGGTTATCAATTGGTTAGGCAGCTCCTAAGCAGGAGTTGGGTCACCACACAGTTCCATAGAATTATTTGGAAGGACATGTGAGTCAGGTGGAATCAGACAGCTTGCTCATTGCACAGCAGACAGATGGACATCATGTGCCCATTGATTTTCCTTGTCCTCTGACCCATAGGTGGTAGGGAGGTAGGCCCAAGGAGAGGTGTGCACACAGCAGATTTTTGTCACAGCTGGGGAACACTGAATTTAGGAGCCTTCTAATCTTGAGATCTGTTCACTCTGACTTAAACATTTCATACATATGTACGTGTATCAAAATATTGTATCCCATACATATAAATTAAAAATTAAGCAGAAGGAAATCCTTCAATCTTATAAGGGAGTTACTAGCAATTCTAGTCAACCTTTGCCCTTAAGTTATGTGTTCTTTATTTTAGTTGTCAGGAAACAAATCTGCCTTCTGAGTCAGAGGGAGAAGCTCTCTAGCTTCCAGGGTTATCTGTTATGCAAAGGTCTTAAAACAAAGCTCTCAGTGCCTTTGCTCAGAAGACCTTCAGAGATGCCAGATCGTGGAGAATTATCTCCCAAGGGATGCACACATTTATGTGGATTGTATATGTACATGTATATATTTCTAAATAAAGACATTTTTTGGTATAGAAGATATGTCCAGGAAGATGACTTTGGATATATCCATGCTTTCCTGTTCTGAAACACTGGTTTGAGTTAATGTGACAAGATCAATATCTTAACCATTGATTTCCTGAAGAGATCAGTATAGTACCTGGGTCTTGGCAGGTGCTCAGTGAATGTTTCTTGAATAGTGTATGATTCAAAAGTATGGTTGTTGAATGATGAATGAATGAATATATTTAAAAGTTGCACTTCTTCCTTGAGAGTGAATGTGGACCCACTCAATGAAAACTGGAGAGTTTATTTGGCCTAATGTTCATATATTGTTTGTAGGTCCATTGATATGCCCATTTCACATAGCAAGATGTATTAATCTAACATAAAGTCATCTGCTTTAACAATAAAATATATTTTTACAAAGAAAATGAAAGAGAGATGGGGTTTTGAAAAATGTGATAGATTTTAGAGGGATATACTTGGTTAGGTTTAGAAAATCTTTATATAGTACACATTTTACTTATGTAATAATACAAATTTAAATTATAAATAATGAATGATTGATGCCTGTGTTGCTGGATAGTGTCCTAAAATAGTAATTCCTTGCAGCTGGCACTGACATCTTTTAAAGAAAAACTCTGTGTAAATGATGTGCTTAGTCTTGTATGAAACAGTATCTATAACAACAGCTTTTATATACGTGGAGTCAGATGGCTAGGAAGCAATTTTAATATTCTGTTGGGTTCTTTAAAGTGAGGATACATTGTAGTTTCAGTTGTTGAGGCTGTTAAGCAGCAATCCAGGTATGAAAATGAGAAAGATATGACTGCTTCCCTTGTAAAGAGGAATAAAACAAGGGTATATGGCAAAAGAAGTAGGTAGAGAGGCAAGTTCACCTCAAAGAGATTCATTTGCACCCTTCTCTGTCTGATCTGTGTGCTTCTGCCCCCTGCAGAATGAATCAGCCTGACGTTTTATCAGCTTCCTGAAAAGTGGGGTGAAGTGGTGTGGAACACATCAGAGGGGTGAAGCTGAGCAAATCTGAAAGAGAGCAGAATATTTCATCTCATATCCTATATGCTCCCCTCCCTTCTCAGCCAGAAGAGGCTGAAATGATGTCCACTCAATTTCAGTTTGCCTTGCTACTCATGTTGCACTGATAGTAATACATTTAAAGTAAGAAAAGAGCAAGTCCAGGCAGTTACAGTGTCCCACAGAGTTACCAGTTTCTCTACCACCTTTCAGGCCTCAGATTTCAGTGTGGCTTACCACAAAGTGACCTTCTGGATTAAATGTATAACTTTGTAATTACTGATTTTATATATACATGTGGATAGTGCTTCTTGGAAGTTAAGTGAGTTCCAGTTTATTAACTAAGTATGGCTAGAAAAAATTTTCCTTAATCAAAATCCTTTTTGGTAACAATAAAAATAGGTGATAGGAAGTGTAAATGCCAGGTAAGTCCTCAGTGCTGAGTATTTTTTCACACCGTACACATACATCCAATGGCTTTCTTAGTATTGTATGCCTCTTCATAAAATAACACAATTTTCCCATGAGAAATAAATGGACATTTGAAAGAAAATTTCTAAATTACTAGTATTCCTCTCAAATTGAATTATGCACAGCTAATGATTATTTTTGGATGCCTTCCAGAGAAAGATGGGACCGTGTTCAGAATTCACACAAAAGCTGAAGGCCTTACAGATGTGGATATACCCTTAGAGTTGGTGTTCCATTTACCAGTCAGTTACCCTCTGTGTCTGCCTGGTATCTCAGTTAACTCGGAACATTTGACCAGAGGCCAATGTGTGACTGTGAAAGAGAAGTTACTTAAGCAAGCGGAGAAGCTTCTGCCGGAGCCCATGGTTCATGAACTGGTTCTTTGGATCCAGCAGAATCTCAGGCATGTTCTCAACCAACCAGAAACTGGAAGTGGCAGTGAAAAGTGTACTTTTTCAATAAGCACGACTGTGGATGATGGATTGTGGGTAACTCTTTTGCATTTAGATCACATGAGAGCAAGGACAAAATACATCAAAACTGTGGAGAAGTGGGCTTCAGGTTTAAGGCTGACAGGAAGACTGATGTTCCTGGGTAAAATAATTCTGATTTTACTACAAGGAGACAGAAACAGCATCAAGGTGCCAAGTTAAATGTTCAGTGTGAATCTTGTTATTTTATGCTTAAAAGAGTATGTCTCTTGAGTATGTTTTATAACAATGGAATTGATTAATCATTAAGATGTTTCTACTTTTCTGATTACCATGTTAATGGATTTTCATTTGCAAGAATGCCTAATTACTAATTGCAACTATAAACTTGCAAAGCTCAAGAATAGGTATATATTAAAAATCATGCCACTTAATGAAAGTGACAGGTTATTAAAAAGAAAAAAACCTTTTTTGTAAAAATATGTTTGTTTTTCTAATTAGCCATGGAGCTCAACTTTATAAATGTGTACTAAATGTTTGTGACTATTAATATTTCTTTCCATAATTAGGCACAGCACAGGGTGTATTTGTAGATCATCTGCAAAATATATAACTTACTGATTGTGAAAAATACATTCTGACACTTTTAATATTGTACCTATAAACCTGGAAAGAGAGCTTGTCCCTTATAACCGAGATTTAGTGTTAGTAGAAGTAGAATCATTAGAACTGTCGGCCTGTCACCTCCTACCTAACTTTTGTTTTCCACCTGACTTGTCTCAGCAGCTGCTTTCAAAACCATCATCTTCTTTTGATTTTTCACATACTTTTTCTAAACGCTTCTAACCTATTTTATGAGGCATCAGACAAGGAACAATGCTTATTATATTTTAAATATTAGAAGAGTCACAAGTCACTTAAGTTGTATAATTTCAGATAGGTTGGGTCAGGAGTCATTACAGTAGAATCTATTTAAAACATTTTAGTATGAACAACCTATAATCTTAAGGACTTGTAGAATAATGACTTGGTTTTTTCAAGATAAGTTCTCATTACAAAATTCCTTTGGCACTTGGTTAACCAGATTCATGCCAGGCTATAGTAGATAAATGAAATAATTCAAATTAAATATATATTCTGGATTGGGGCCTGATCAAGGAACTACATATTTTAAGGCAATTTATAGTATATCTATAAACTTTGATTTGGGCAACATACCAACCGCCAAAAATGAGACAAATTAATTTTCTTGCTTGTATTTACCTTAAAGGCTCAGATTTTTCTTTAAGCCAGCTCAGGCATATTAGGATAAATGCAGCTGTTTTGTAAATATTGTTAGATTGAGTCATCAATTACTTAATAAGCATTTTCACATATTACTAGAATTCTGCTAAAATGGAGAAATTATACATTTCCAAGAATTTTTTAGAGCCATCTTTAAAATGTCATATTATATAAATTTCTCCATTAAATATTTGTAAGGTCATTTACTAGGATGGGGAATGTGCAAATGAGTTTATAGATGTCACCAATTTGCCATGGTGGGTGCTGTGTGCCTGATAACCCATTCAGTTGCTGGGTTGGCAATAGCAGCATCCTGTGCTTGGAAGTGGGTGTTAGCATTACATGTCCGCATTCCTGTAAGTGCTTTGCATGTAATATTGGATTCAATCATCACAGCTTCTCCTGGAGTTGGATCCTGTTATGAGTACTATTTTATAGAGGAGGTTAACTCAGGCACAGAGAATTTAAATAACCAGCCCAGAATCAGAAATAGTAAACAGCCAAGTCCAGATTTAATCTTGATAGTTTGATTTTATTGTTCTTTATTTCTGTATTTAGCAGGACATTATCTACCATGCATGTAAAACCACTGTGTAACTGTCTTACTGCATGGTTCAGAAAGAGAGTACTCTTTTAGCATGAAAATAAGCCTGCAGGGTTATGACTCTTTCAAAACTGCAATTTAGGAGTTCAGAGTAGGATATGTACTTAATGTACTGATTTATCATTTAGGAGTACCTGGTTCTTCAGAAAACCTCCAATGTAGATGTGGACTCAAGTGGAAAGAAATGCAAAGAGAAAATGATTAGTGTACTGCTTGAGACAAAAGTACAGACGGAACACAAAAGGTATAATTTAGTACTATTGCAGATGGAAAAGCAACTGAATCGATAATTATACTCTGACAAATCTAGGCATATTCATGAGTTTCTCTTGTATAATGCAGGTTTCTGGCATTTGAAGTCAAAGAGTATTCAACATTGGATGAGTTACAAAAGGAATTTGAAACTGCAGGACTTAAGAAGCTTTTCTCCGAATTTGTAGTTGGGCTGGTAAAATGAAATAAAGACAAGAATCTTAGTAAAACAGCAGTAGTTTTTGTTGTTGTTTTTGTGTTGGATTGGGGGAGTGGCTAATTGAAATAGTCATAAGAGAACGATTTTAAAGTTTTCCCTGTAGCAAAATCATTATAATTTCAGGAACAAAAGCCAATTCTGTTTCATGGAATATTAAACATGAAAAGAGCTTATATGTTCTAATGTTTGCTAGGAAAGACTAGGTTCAAGAGATGAAGCATTTTTTGGAAGACATATTTAAAAAAAATGTTGGTAGATGAGCCCTTGTTTTTGTATAGACAGTTTGGAATGATGCAATTTTCTGGCTAATTTTCTTGTAATTAAATGATTAAAGAAAGATTTATTTTCATATTTACTTTTTTCTCTGTTTACATTTTTTAGCATTTAATCATGATTTTTCCCTATTCAGCTTATTATGTCTAATGTTTTAAGTTGATTGTTAAGAAAAGTATAATATTGATTTCTCTGTGGAATTGCATAAATCACTGGTTTATATACAAACCAAAGAAGTTCTATAGAACCTGATTTATAATTGCTTTATTTGGGGCTCCATGTACCTAATAGCTATAGGGCTACAAAATCTATTTAAATTGCAATTCTTATTTGAAAAATGAAACTTCTGGTTTTATAAGGGGAGAAAAGTTCATTTAAAATGAACTTGGCTTGGTGGAAAGAAGAAATTATTTAGTGACACTTTTGTGTTATGAAATCTTTTAGATCATGATAAAGTTTATGACCTAAGGAGAGATGGAATTAACAAAATAAAAGCTTAAATTAAAATCTGTAACAAGTAGTGTGAGGTCATTAGAGACTGCATGAAGCCACCTGGGCTTCGGAAATCAGAGGTTGAGTTGTGGAACAAAAGCCAAGTGGCTCTGTCCTATTGCAGCCTGTGAAGTGCACTGATGTCATTATAAAATTATAACTGGTGGTAGAAAAGTAAGGGCACGCTGAGTAATACTTCTTGACTGTGCTGTTCTGTGACCATGATGGTTCAGTCTGATTATCTTCTTTTCAGGCACCCTAGTTCTTACATTATTACTACCTGTTTGTCATTTTGTAGAGTTCTGTTAATGAGTGGAGATTTTTCAGTTTATTTCATCTCACTCAGGGGTGTTGGCAAATGTCGTTAGATTTCTACATGAGAGAATATACAAGGCAAAGTACAGCTACCCTAATTATATGCAGAAGTGAGAAAACAGGCTTATGAGTTTTGGGCTGGTATCATCCTTTTTGATTTACTATAGTTTTAGGGAAAAATAAAATAAGAAAACATAATAGGGTGAGAATATTGACCATATTTCACAAGGTATCTTAATAACAGACATTATCACTATCAAGCCTATAATAGTAGTAATAGTAGGAGGTTAGGTGTAAGTTTCATTATAACAGAATGTCTAGTCTTTTGTTTTACCCTGACTCTGTGAATGTGTGTTTCTACTCCATGTGTTATAATACTTTTTCAGACTTTTCAGGTTTAATTCTTACTTTGGAAAAACAGTTTGGTGCAAGTCAAACAATATTAATAATTTTTTCCAACAAAATTATATTTCTATCTGCTAAAATTAGGTAGAAAGGTATTGGCTATTATTACTTTCTTTGATGTTTTTAGCTCAGTCTTTCACAAATACACATTAGAATGAAAAACCAAACCTTGACAGGGTTGCAATTTATATAAATTTTCACTTGAGCTTTAAACAGAATGAAAATGTAAAATTAGGTACCAAGAAGTTATGGGGATCTCTTGGTATTTTTTTTTATTTTTATTTATTTATTTATTTTGGTACCGGGGATTGAACTCGGGTCCTTGTGCTTGCAAGGCAGGCCACCGAACCACTGAGCTAAATCCCCAGCCCCATCTTGGTATTTCTTTATAGTAGTAGAGAATCTTAATTGTTTCCACTGGTATTGTTGCTTCAAACTTTGCTGCTGTCCTCTTTGTTGATGGTAATTATGAAATAATTAGGGACCATGGATTTAGCTCAGTGGTGCTGCTGCCTACTTCACAAGTATAAGGTCCTGGTATATAT